GGCCTTTTAACCAGTAGGTTCAGGGTTCTAATCCCCTGTGGACGCGCCCTGCTGAAAAGCCCCAAACCAGGACGAAAAGCTGTGCAGTACTGCCTGCAGGCTTTCCAATGGTTCTCTAACCGATATCAGCTCACAATGAAATCCTCCAATTAATAAATCATTCTTTAAGAATTTACTTATTAGCCAGTTAGTTCCTTATCTATCATTGTTTGCCTTAATTACGCCCTCACTACATTCCGCATAACACTCAGTGATCTCAATAATTTGCATTTATTCTAATAGTTATCATGTATTTTAAATCTAAACCAACTGAACATACTCATGCATATAATGATTGCTGAAAAATCTCTTTGCTTGAAACACGTGTTTTCTCTTTCTCAGTGGGGTTTCTCTATGAAGTATAAAACTTATCAGTAAGGGAACTATCACAAAATTCCACCGTTCTTGAACAACTTTCAGACAACAGTGAATGCAAAATGAGGTGAGTGATTTTACATACAAGATCATTAAGAATACCAAAATTTCCATTTATCGAAATGCTCAAACTCCTATGTATTCATTCTATATTGTTTTAATCATGTAACTGTATTCAATGCATCACTATATGGACTCGCGCGAATATTTAATTAGCTGCCAACTAGACTAGAGGTGATGAAGATTCCTAGACAACACCACCAACAGCAACAACAACAACAGACAACAATCAGCATTAATGGAAGGAACCTGAAAGAAACAACCTCTTTTACCTACCCAACTGGGAAGCATCGTTTCAACTACGGGCGGAACTGACGAGGATATCAAAGCAAGAATCGGAAAAGCAAGACAAGCTTTCACTACTCTCAAGTCTGTGTGGAGGTCAACAGCACTCACCATCAAAAATAAGATCCGGATTTTCAACTCCAATGTGAAGTCAGTCAGTGCTACTATACGGATCAGAGACTTGCACTGCACGTCATAAAGAGCATCTCAAACTACAGACCTTCATTAACAGTTGTCTTCGCTCAATACTACTCAAGATCAGATGGCCGGCCAGAAAAGATCAGCAACAGAGACCTGTGGGAGCGAACCAACCAGGGACCGATTGTGCAACAAATAAGCAGGAAGAAATGGAGATGGATTGGCCATACTCTAATGAAGCCATCAAGTGACATCACTAGACAAGCCATTGCTCGAGTGGAACCCGAAAGGGAAGCGGCGAGTTGGTCGTCAGTGCAAGGGTGGCTTGGAGTAGGTCATGTGAAGAGGAAATGAAAACGTGTAGGCAGACTTGGAGCCAGGTGAAGACTCTAGCAGAGAACCGAACGCAATGGAAACGGACGGCTGAAGCCCTATATTCCTGTAGGAATTAAAGGATACAGTAATATTAATAATAATAAACGCTCTGCAATTCTTGAAAGAAATGAAGAATAAAGGAATATAACTGGTTCTGTCTTCATATGCAACAACACATCACATGATATATGTATTTTAGATTATTACTTTACATGCAAAATTCGGTATGAAGAGGAGTATATCCTCCAATGAAGCATATCTTCATTTTATTGAAAAATTGCACAACATTTACTCGGAAACAGGTTAAATCATCGCGCAAGTTCATGTATAGGTTGGTCGGTCGGTTTTCGACATAGAACTTTGCACATATGTGCGGCAGTTCAAGTCGCCACACTCCATGTAGCACACAAAGCAAGAGAAGAAAGTAGAAGAAATGCATAATATAGACAGTAAACAGAGGTGTGAGACAAAGGAATAGTAATAACGGAGAACAAAACAGTTTAATTGGAAATCATAAGTCACAAGGAGTGGATGCATCTGCGCCACTGAGAACGATTTTGAGCCATGTCACCAATTGTTTCCAACCATTGGTTTTTACCGTCCCGAGGACCCCAACCAGGAAGTCTACACCTTCCTACGTGGCTTAGACTAACTGTTGTGGATTTCATTGACTGGTGCCATGTTTTCGTTTGACCGCCGCTAGCTCTTTTCCAGCCTGGCCCTATATCAGCTAACATTGCCCGTCGAGGAAGGCGATGACTAGGCATACGTAACACATGTCCTAACCATCTCAGTCGATGTAATTTCACAGTCTCGTCGACTGATTTCCCCGCCTTACCTAGCACTCGACGCCTAACCTCAATATTGCTCACCTTATTATACCACTTCACGCGGGAGATAGAACGCAGACACCTATGATCGAACACAGATAATCTTTTCATGTCTTCTGCTCTCAATGGCCAGGTCTCACAGCCATAAAGGAGGACGGAGCGGACTGTTGAGCAGTACACACGCCCTTTGGTCGATAGTCGGATGTCACGTCTACGCCAGAGACGGCGTAAACTGGCATATGCGAACCTAGCCCTCTGTATTCGTGCTGAGATTTCGTCGGAGATCAACCCGTTGGCACTGGCTGATGGTACTTCCCAAGTAAGTGAAGTGGTCAACGTGCTCTACCACTTCACTTCCTATTTCTAATCTAGGGGTCGGTGAAGTCCAATCCTGCAGCATCATCTTACATTTTACAGGGGCGAATCGCATGCCAAACATACGAAGATTGTTGCTCAAGGTGTTCAGTAGACTCTGCATTTTGTCAGCGTCCTCGCCTAGAAGGACTATATCGTCCGCATATTCTAAGTCGACGAGATTATTCCCTGGTAGCAAGTCAATCCCTGAGTCGCTGAAGTGTGTTAGGGTTAAGTCCATTAATACGTCTATGATGAAGTTGAATAGGAATGGGGATAATGGGCATCCTTGACGGACGCCACTAGTCGTCACCACTTCAGATGACAACTCGCCATAGGCCCTCACCTGGCTGCATGAGTACGAGTAGAGTGCCTTAATCAGTGCAATGTATTTTCTCGGCATTCCCTTCACAGCCAAGCATCGCCAGAGAACCTCTCGGTCGACAGAATCGAATGCCGCCTTTAGGTCAAGAAATATAATGATTGTCGGACGCCGGTAGGAATGCCTATGTTCTAGAATCTGTCGAAGGGTGAAGATATGATCAATACACCCTCTTCCTGGCCTAAAACCTGCCTGGTTTTCTCGTGTTTGTGCCTCCCGAGCACCACTTAGTCTACGCAGTATTATTGAGCCTAGGATTTTAGATACTATATTAGTCAAGCTAATCCCTCTGTGATTATCACAAGAAGACTTGTCTCCCTTCTTGTATATCGGGATGATCAGTGACTTACACCAACCCGATGGGACTTCCTCTGATTCCCAGACGCTGCCTAGAACCTCAGTTAACGCAGACAGTAAACTGTCTCCACCGTACTTAAATACCTCTGGAGTCAATCCATCAGGTCCCGCTGCTTTGCCTTGCTTCAGATTAGTGACAGCTTTAGTAACCTCAGTTAAGGACGGAGGACCTGTGTCTATATCCCATTCAGGGAGGTGTTGGATGTTCGGCAGGTTAAGTGTGGCTGTGGGCCAATTAAACTGCTCCTCATAGTGTTCTTTCCAGCGCTCCAGACGTCTATCCACCGTACTTAAATACCTCTGGAGTCAGTCCAGATGTAGGTCATCTGAATTTATACATCTGTTTCCTTCGTCCTAGTTTGGGACTCATCGGCAGTACGCACCCATAGCCAGGGTTCGAACCCAGAACCTTCCGGTTACAAGGCAAGTTGATACAGCGCTCATCCACTGGGATCCCTATTGGATGGCCCTAAAGTTCTCTATCCTGAAGTTTCATCACACAAGATTCAAGATATGTCTCACTATCCTTACCATTCATTAACAAGGTGGTAAGACCCAGTGAAAATAATGAATTCTCTTTTATATATGAATCGTACTCAGTTGTCTAGTATCTACAAGAAACAAACAAGTAGTCTGTCTTTCATAGTGCATTCGTTTTACACAGGATGTCTTTCAACTGATGCTTCAACTATTCATTTTACATAGGCATTGAGATATACCTATCGGTCTACATTAATTTTCTACTAAATTCCTATGACATGTTAATTATAATTCCTAATGTGACTTTATCAGTCACTTAAGTATAAGCTTTTACAATATATTTCTCTCTAGACTAATATCATAACGCATATTAGATGTATAGGTCATTTGATAAAACTGGACGATTAAAACAATGACAAATCCAAATGAAATAAGACTTTTTCGTGGAAAGCAATTTCGAAGAGCCCAGTGCTTCAGGCAGGCTACCTTTAGCTTTGTGCATAACTTTAAGAGATCAATCACTTGAGTCTTATATCCACAGATATGTGTAGAGCTGTAGTCCATTGGTCTGGCTTTTAACCTGTGGATCACAGGTTCAAATCTCACTCCCCCTTCCAAGGTTTGGGAATCAAGGTAGTATTGTGGTGAGAGCTGTCTGCTAGCCAAATCGGTAGATGGTAATTTACGTCCTCAATACTGGTCGTGAGAAAAATATGAACAAAGACTGATTCAACAACCAACCACAGCAGACTTTGTGTAGGCGGACACAGTTAGCATATAGATGATCTGACATTCAAGATACAGCCACAAAGAGATGAAAGATTAACTTTCAGTGAGGAACAACCAATCAGAGGACTGTGTTTTCCTGCTAACAATAATCTATAATAATGTACATGAAAAGCTATAAATATGTGTTGATTTCCTTAATAAACGATCTGTTGCCTGGTCCTTGTCTTGTGTTGTTACAGTATCTGGGTCCCTCACACAATATGCGTGCGTGACTCATTACCAACTGTATGCGATTGAAATTGGTTGTGGAGAAACATTCTATTTTCACCTTTATATATGCATCCACTATTTCACGTGCTCATTTGGAACTGACTAAATTAGGCATTATAAGTCAGTATGCCGTAAACGCATAACCGAGTATTATCCAGTTTAATCGACGGGACTACGCTCTGCTGTGTATAGCTGAAGTATCAACAATACGTGAACGGAAAACTAGATTGTGAATTCGAAAAATGCTTGGTTTAACCTAGTTCTTTATCTTGGTACTGATTATATTCTTTCTGAATAAATAATTTGATGAAAAATCAATTAAGTCACTCTTTCAATGAAGTTATATTTAGCATAATCTATTGAATTATGAATAAAATTACTCAAACCAAATCATAAATAAAACTTTACAAATATTACAAAGTATTTATAGCAGAGTAAACAAGTTGAAGGAGAGTAACGCAAATAAGACGTAAACACCGATGACCTTGAAGAAGCCAATCAGAACTTGGGGAGGGAAGATTGTAGTTCTTATGTTGAAATTGAGTTTATTATTTAATCCCACATACTGTTTAATATATACGGAGTAGATTCAATCCTAAAAATCCGTCTAAAAGCAATAAATCTTAATCAGGAACTTAATTTAAAGAATATTCTTCAAATTTTTCAAACATTTTTTTCATTTAAATTAGCCTCGCTCACTCCAATCGGTCTCTTCAAGGTCATTTATGTCTTCTTTCGATTGGCTCACTAATCTCTTAAAAAATCAATAAATATATACATGTACAACTTGAAATTGAAAGTAAAATGACAAAACAAAAATCCCATTAAAGGCTTTCATCACCATATCCCCCAAATTATAATTCATTTCTAGACACTTGAGGTGCAGCTGACTGATAATGAATACGTTTACGAAACATTTTCATAAATAAAATCATATATAAAAATAAACCTAATGAAATAAAAAATAAAATCCAAACAATTCGACCACATTTTGAACCTAATTCAACTGATAATTCATTCAGTACACCCGATAGATGAACTTCATTTTTCTCAGCTTGTCCAATACTCATATTGACTGTTTGACAATCTGATCGAATACGTTGATTCATTGCTGAGGATTGATTTTTAAGATCAACAGTTAGTAATAACATTTCTGAGGCTAGCTGTTCACGTCGCATTTGTTGTTCATGTAAAAGTGCATCCGGGGATTTACTTGAGTTTTCAAGCTGATCAGACATTTTCTCTGTAGACTTATTTCCACCTGGAGAAGAAGTAAAATAAACACCGTTTTTATATAATGTCACTGGAGAAATATATTTTGGAATAGTTATTACTATTACAGCACAAATTAGTACATCATGGGCACTGAGAGATGCGCTGCACAAGAGCTCATAGTTTGTACGCGAGCCGGGATGCTGTCCAGACTCCCAGACCAAAGTATAAGGTTATCTTAAGGAGCCACCACCCGGACTCCAAATCCTTTGACTTGAAGTCTGATTCATGAGGCGGTGAAGCAGTGACATGACCTACATTTTCATGGTTTCCCATGTACAAAACATCCATCTGTTCGGATTCTGGAGACCATGTACACTAGAGGTTTGGAATCAGGGTTTTCCAGGTAGACCTGAGTATCTACCAGTCCGGTTCTAAACACACCGGACGTTCGCATCCATCCTTTGACTTTCATGAAGAACAACCCCACCGCGTGAAGCTAGTGGATAGAACTTATCTGGTAGAGGCCATAAACACGTGGCTGCACGAGAGCGTTTCGAGAAGACCAAAGACTATCCATCCCAGGGGCCCTACCAGGAGGCATTTTATATAGTAACACTAGCAATTAGGAGTTTACGTCCCTGCCAATGCTGAGATTACCTAAGACAGTTTGGTCGTATACTAACTGAATGAAACAAAAAACCAGTTGTCAGATTTTAATTCCACCCCAAACTCTGTGATGATTATCTAAGGCGAAAAAATAAGTAACAGTTTCAACTAATGGTTATAAGAATAGATGTGATCTCAACTGTTACGGCGTCGCCAGACAAGTAGTTTGGAAGTCATCGGTTCAAATCCCTCGGAGACACCAACTTTAATTTTACTTTCAGTGATTGTTCACCACATAATTAAGAGCCAGCCAACCTAAGACAGTCTTAAGTTGGATGGCTTTTTGTTTCATTCAGTCAGTAAACGACCAAACTTGTAACTTGGATGATACCATATAATTCAATTTGGTTTGACTGGATTGAGGTGTTCGACCTCTGTTTCGAACGATGAGTACTGAGTGCATGCCTCAGTGGGAACACTATCACTCACTCACTGGGGAATTCAGGTACATCCAAATGACGAGTCCCAAATGGGACAAAATGCGCATCTTGGATCCCACTGCTAGTCACCACCCCCCCCCCCCCCAAATTACTTGGATGTTACTAGTTTGAATTCAGTGGTGAGATGGATTTTCATCTCATCGACAATTCTAATCACCATCAGTCTACTTACACAGTTTATCCGACTTTTTTTCAAATATTGAATAACAAGATGTATGCTACTTTGAGAAATATTAAAACAACGAAATTAACTGAATTGTATCATTTTAGAAAGAAGCGAATAACCTACTGAACAATGATGACAGTAGTATCTCGTTTCCCAGATAATTATCCAGAATAAATTTCCTAACACATTTCTACCTAATGAACAACTATAGGTTTTAAGGAATAATTATGAGAGGAAAGAATTTTCACCAAAATACCCGGTCAAAAAATACTGAAAAATTAGAATAAACAAACCTATTTCCAAGAGTTGGGTTGTAACGAGATTTAAATGATATCAAGGTATTAGTATTAGTAGTTTTCGTCAAGAATAGGCAACAGTTAGAGAATCATTCTAATAAGGATTCGTATCTAGCGGAATCTACCAAGTCGAGTATGAAGACAGATATTTGAGTGAAGCTATAGCTCATTGGTCCAGGCACTCGACTTCCATGTGATGGGTCACGAGTCCGAACCTCGCTCCATCTACCGAGGTTCGTGCAGCCAAGTAGTATCACTAGCCCATACATAATAGATGTGGTTCATTGTCAACTGTGTGGAATGGTTGGCAGCTGGTCGAGTAACATGTACTCACTATTTGGAATTACTGTTTTTCGAGTCTGAGTTATTCAAGTTGTTTCAATTAGACACTAGTTACTAACCAGTGTAATGTGTGTGTGTTTAGTACTATCTTTGGTGTCTCGCCATCACGGTGCGCTGTAAATTGTTGGCAGTAGTTGGTTGGAGGCAATCGGCCACAGGAAGCCCCATCTGTCTTAGGTTTCGTGCTATTTGGCACTCATCAGTAAGGCTTATCTGCAGCCTCGAAGGAACTCATGTTCCTTCTGAGATTCGAACCCGCATCACCCAGTGCTGCAGTGAGGGACGTATCGTATCTTCAAAAGTATTCAATACAGTCCTACAGGAGGTCAGTCACGAGCCCAACTAGCTCAGTGGCAAAGTCTCTGACTGAATCACTGGGTGACGCGGGTTCAAGTCTCAGAAGGAACATGAGTTCCTCAAGGTTGCGAACACTCCTTACTGACGAGTGCCAACTAGCACGAAACCTAGGTCATACGGGGGTTCCTGCCGATTGCCTCCAACGATCTAATATCAACTATTCAAGTTGCAGAATCAAAATTTACGGTGATAAAGTAGGCTAACATATGTAAATTTAAATGATTAGAGATGCATTTCCCAGGGACATTAATGTTCGGCCTTCCAAGAAGATTTTAATTGATGAATCCCACTGTTTTTGCTTTCAAATATGACATTAAGTGAAGAGTTACTTAAGGCAAAAGGTTACAATGTGAACGATTTTCTTAGCTTGTGTAATACTAATGAATGATACCATTCATTAGTGGTAATAATCTCGCCAAACACCGACATATTCCGAGCTCGATTCCCGGCCGACACACTCCAAAACCTCGCCTAGCCGGTAATGAAGTCCGATAAAGAGGGAAGGTTGTGCTTTACAAAACTGTTACAGAAACTTTAAAGCTCAGGCTTGAAGCCTAATATCACAGTCAGAAAATAGAGGAATGGAAAAAAGAGAATGAAACAAATAAATTACTGATTCTAAATAGCAGTTCCATAAAATAATGGAAACATGATTCACTAGCTCAAACGCTAGCCTCCCGGTCAACGGGTCCATCTTCACACAATAAGTACAGCCGATAGCTTGATACATGAGAAACCTGTTCGAAGCAACCGAATTCTAACAACTCAGAGAAACAGAGAAGAACTTTATCATGAAAATGAATACTCCTTTAATAATAAACAGCTTCTTACTGTCTAATATTAGAAAAAATTTAAGTTTTTATGTAGAGAAGAATTTGGGGACTATATACCTTAAGATTACTAAAGCTGATAACAACAAAGAGTACTGAAAGAATAAAAAGTTGAGCTATATAAGTGATAACTAACTGTAGACATTCGCCAGTGGTTCAATGGTGGGAAGCTTCCAATGTCAACTAACACCCAGGTGACAAACTTCTAAATCTCATCTAGTTTACTGTCTGGTAGTAAGCTCGATAAAGAGGGAAGATTGGGTGGGTGTGAGGATAGCCATTCCACCCCATGAAAACAACACCACTACTACTGAAACTTCAAGGCCTAAAGCAGCTCTACGTACGTTCCACTCGGAAAGAGAGGGGTGAAAAACTTAACAACAAAAAAAGGCAATCTGTAAACATGATTGAATACCTACCTAATAATTGTTCTCTTAAATCACGATTTATCCGTTGACGTTCTTTCGCTATCAAATCGCATGTATCAGAATATGCGCATTGAATGACTGATGTGTTCTCCACTATTTCAGTAAATGTATTATCTGTCTCCTGTGATGAAATATCTTTACACACCGTATTGTCACTGTTTTCCGCTGGAGTGATTGTTTTCAGTGCAGGAGTAGTTTTATCATGAGATAGATAATGCGTAGATGCTGAATCTGAAGTTTGTACAATATCACAGTTTTCTTTTAACTTTTTCACCTGAAAGTAGAAAATAATTAAAAACACATAGCAAACACACATATAAACTCATTCACTTAGTAGTAATGGGAATAAAATTCACATTTCAATGAGAAAATGAACAAGGAGAATTTAAGCTTGTTAGACTGTGAAATAAGACGAACAACAGAAGAAGGTAAACTGCACTGGACTGCACTGCACACTAGCGTTTATAAAAAGCTTACGTATTCTGATAATAGATATTTATTTAGACTTCAACTCATCTCATCCATTATCTATCTATCTGTAAAGGCAGGCTTAGTCAAGTGTCTGTCTAACACACTGAGCAATAGCACTGAGTAGTACAACAAAATACCTAAACGATGAAATGAAATAGACAGAAGAGGCATTGGTGTTAAATAACTATCCTATAAAATAAACTCATTAGGAAGATGAGAAATGGTGAAAAGTAAAATAAAAATAATGGCGAAACCAATAATGATAAGATAAATAAGAAAGAGTATAAGGCGTCTACAGTAGTTTTACCATGCAAGGAGGGCACATCTTTTTTTTTATTACAGCTTGATGCCACACTGTATTTTTAGTACAAGTATGACATTTTCAGCATGGATATCGGTAGTCCAAATTTTGCAGGCCGACCATAGATATCGGGTGTGCGTCGGCAGGGGATCGAACCCCGGACCAGGTGCATGGTCGGCGAGAGTCCTAACCACTGTGCCACCAACGCACGGCTAATCTGAGACCCTACGTAGGATTCTCAATAAAGTAGGAATTAGGGTGGCATTTAAACCTACAAATTCACTACTCAAGAACAAGCTTTGTAGGTTGAAGGACCGTATTGACCCAATTAAACAAAATATAATTTACGAAATACCTTGCAATGATTGTAAGTTAAGTCAACTAACTAGCAGATTAGGAGTAGTGAGATTATCAGAATATTAGAATTTAGCTAAGGTTGGGATGATTGATCCTGCGAAGATAAGTAATTTAGGAAAAATCTCAGCAATCGCACTGTATGCATTAACACACAACCATACAATAGAGTGAGAGAGGGTTAACATTCTAAGAAGTAATATAGGTAGGTGGAGAGAGAGGTTGATCACTCAACCCTGGTTCGTCGAATAATCTACACCCAACACATGCAATAGAAGTGACTCAATGCAAATACCAGAGATATGGAAGATATTATTACCAGTCAAATCAGAGGAGGATAATAAATAATGTTAAAATGTATTCAATTCACATTATAACATTCTAACAAGTTATTTATTTTACTATAAAAACATCTTATTTCCCATCTTATTGACTAACAACACTCGTCTTAATCCTCATCATATTATATTTATTGATAACATTAATATTGGTTTCGAATGTACTTTATTTTTCATACTGTTTCACGCAAGTCTTATATTGATTTTATTCAAATGTCCAATCGACTTTACTCATGAAGCAAGAGAGTTGAGTGAGTGCCTCGATATGATTATGAGCAATAATAAATTTTGTTTGAAACGTCATTAGTAAATATTACTGTATAATAATATGTGGCTTTATCAAAATAAATTTTTATCCAAAATGGAATTATTCTGTACCAGTGTTCAAGTTTTATCCCCATATCAATAACACATAGTGCAAGAGTTTCAAAAAATTATAACAAAAACACTATAGCACCTTACAAACTACTGTGGTGAGAGCTGGCTGCTAGCCAAAATTGGTAGATGGTAATTTACGTCAATGTTTATGTCCTAAATATTGGTCATGTGAAAACAAGATCAAAGACTGACTCAACAACCAATCACAGCAGACTTTGCGTAGGCGGATACAGTTAGCATATAGATCATCTGACATTCAAGAAACAGCCACAAAGAGATGAAAGATTAACTTTACGTAAGAAACAACCAATCAGAAGACTGTGTTTTCCTGCTAACAGTAATCTATAATGATGTACATAAAAATCTATAAATATGTGTTGATTTCCTTAATAAACGATCTGTTGCCTGAACCTTGTCTCCTGTTGTTACACTACTACTTGTTGTGAGTATATACTGTGAAGCTGGAAACAAACACTGATCAATAAATACTGAGCAACCGTCTCACTCTTTTTAGACAATACTACTCAGCGTTATTCTCTGATTTATTCACCTCAAATTCATGAGTTATCCAACTCATTCAGATTGTGGATATCTAGTTGAATAAACCGAGGATAACCAAAAATCACACTGTTACTTTACTACAGATTGCATTTTATGTAAATATGTTTGACTTGAAGTACCATACTTATCTGTAAGGTTGTAGTTCTAATTACAACTACTAGATACCTATTTGGACTTTTCCTAGTATCGGATCAAATCCGCAGTTTACACAGTTCCAGGTGATATAAATAACGATAGTTTCCTTTGCGAACAAATTATTCAGATAATAATATACGATCTGTTTGCCATCATACATAGCAATCAAGAAACCAAATATATTCACATGGCACTATATACTACTGACCAATTAGGATAAGTAGTTGCATATCAGCCACATCATCCAATATTGATTGCTTGCCACATCGAAGTGGTACAAACATCGGGTGGCTGTTTCGTTCGTTCGGTGTATACCCATTCTAAATCAGCTCAAAGAGCGAAGTCAGTGTGAACCACCCGACTGATATCAGTATACTTCTTCGAAGGTTAACCCTACAACACACCACCTTTTGCATGATAAACGAATCAGAGAAGAATGAGAAGGAAAGAAAACAAACAAACTCTTACGTTTTCTTTAAACAAAATAAATGGAAGTAGATAACGAAATGAATTATCCCACTAGAGGATATATTTTTATGAAGTCAAAGTGAAAAGAAAAACAGAAAGCAAACACATGAAGAAGACTACAGTTAATACAAAAATGTCTCCTATATTCCTCCGACTCGAACTTGAAAGTGAGTACATTGCAGACATAAATGGTCTGAGGTTGGATCCCCGGTAGACGTACTCCTAAGCCTCTTTACGCCGGCAATAAGATCGGTAAAGAAGGTAAGTTGAACATGAGGCTATCGAAACTTCAGAGGTCTAGTTTGGAGCCCTATATCCCACTCGGAACGTGAAGGGAATTACTGGCCACGAATTTTTCAGAAGCAAAATTGACTCTTAGATACCGTAAGATGAGTTTACTAGTTTAACTGGACTCCTACAAACGCCTTTGCTATATTATCGCCAGCTGTGGATATCAATTTACGTGTAGCTGTTGAAGAAGACACAAGAAGAGAAGGGAAGGCTTATCATAGTATTCCTGAACACAGTCTAAGACGCCTATGATTAAGGGGGGAGTGTAACTCTTAACAGTACAGGAGGATTTTCGACATACACCTTAAATACTTTTTAAAGATAATAAATAAACAAACAAGTTCACGCAGCATCATAAAATTCCCCAAATCTACCACTTATGTGTATAAGACTAGGTTACACTAGATCTCTCTCTTTCTACCTTGATAACTTTTTCTTTGACTTTTAATCAAAACTAATCAAACCATCTTTCGTTAAATACAAATGCTGCCTTCTCTTTTTATTGTACTGCGCCTTCGTCTCTTAAACCCTGTGTTCAGATAGCTTGAATTCAGCTAGGTGACTTCAACTCACAATATTTAATAACTTTTTACGCCAACTTAGCTAATCTTATATTTTCTGCATCAATTCCTTATTGATTTCCATGTTTGATTTCTCCGAGAAACTTTATTACACTAAGTATATGACTGCAGTATTTTATCATACTTTACTTCACTCCTACTTGTAGACTAACTATGTTTGAAATGATGGACAAAATGTGTAGCTTAGTTGGATGATTTTGATGCAGTTGTATTCTCTGAGCAGGATGGTTGAACTGTGAAGCTTCCATTGTCTTTCTAGACAACATCTTCAGTGGTGACTCCAATATGTAGTGAACTTATGAGAATTCTTCATGAATGATAAAATTATCTCTCATAACGAACCTGATTGCGATTGGTTGTTAATTTGCATTAATAATGATCGATCAAATAGCTCAACTTCATAGTAAAGTGCGCCCTGAAGAAGTTGTCTAGAGAGGAGACGAAAGCCTCTTAATTAATCCATCCAGCTTCGAGAACATCACCACATGACAAATATGCTTGTTTCTTAGAGATACTCTACGACATTTTGTTCTTTCAATGAACTAAAGCAAATTAAATTTACAATGATACTATATCCTTATTGCGACGAAATGAAATGAATTCGCTGTATCCTACGCCATTATTATTATGGCTTTTTACTACATCTGTGGATAATTTTTAAGATAATGTGAGTATACTACTGACTTAATATTTAACAGTAGTTTTATTTAGAGGTGAAGTAACATCGTGAGAAAAATTAAGGACAGATGTATCGTTTATTTTTACTACACGAAACAGTAAATTATATTACAAAATATAAGGTTGTCAGTAACTTGCTATTACACACGAGTCAGGATAGAACCAGAGACCTTTAGGTTACGAGGCCAAGCTACTATCCAGTGTTCCCTGTTCCTCCATGATCTCTAACTAGGGTATTAGTTCGTGACGAAATCTACACATTGAAATTAATTCAAATCCCTACAAAATCTCATAATCTAAATATCAATATTCAGCCCATTGATGGCTTCTGGATGAATGGATGTCCTGAAGCTACAGCGAGAAGTCATGACCAGTGTGGGGTCCACCAATGTCAAGGTGAACTGGATGCTCATCGAAGGCATTCGTTGAGGGTAGTGCTGTATTAAGAGTTGACAGGAGTTGGAGTTCACCAGATCGTCGAATTCCGACTCAAGTGGCTGAATGATCAACGAAATTGGCCTCGTACCACGAAGGTTCCGATTTCGATCCCTGGTGGGGTCGTGGGTGTGCGCTGATGAAGAATCCCAAACCAGGACAAAACATATGTCCAGTGCTCCTTGTTTTTTAATGCTTTCTAACTGGTGTTGGCTTGCAATAAAATATACGTTGAACTTAATCGAAATCCCTATAAAAGAGTATAATGTAGATATAATTTGTGATATGACATGACTGAAATCACTAGATAGGCTAATTGAGTACAGATTTCCTCCAGTCAAATAAGCAAACATCGAGTATTGCTAAAAACAACAAAATCGCAAATATGATACTTCATTAGTTGCGTGTAATGAGTAAAATCTGTACAAAGATATAGTTTTTAGGAATCCAATTTTCCAAGCTTTTGTTGTATACTCAACTCTTTACTACATTAAACTAGTTGGCATAGGAAATTATCAAATCGTTAATTCATATATTGCTTAGATGTATATAGTATTTCTCTCCAGAAAAAGTTGTGTGTGAATGACTCCATTAACTATTAAAATAAGAATGACAGTTTTTACCAACACGTATGGATTACACGAAATTTCAATTACTTTAGTTAGACTGAGTGAAACAGGAAGAAGTATGACTGAATCCTTACTTTTGCTTTAAGCGACTCTCCTTTAGGTGAACGTATAAATCGCAATAAGACTTCGCACACAAATCCATCATCTAATAACAATAAAATCTAGAAAACTGCATTTTCCTCTAACTAATAATTTCATTAAAAAATCTTATTGTAGAATATTGCTTCAAGTACATTTCATTAAACATCATCTTTAACTATATACAATTTTCAAACGTCAAAAGTTTCTAGAAATTAGAGGCGGAAAACAATTGAAACAAGTTTCAGCTTTTACTGTGTACTATAGGACCTACCCAAAAACAGAATTCGACGACAGCGACGGAAAAAGTGGAGTTAACAGTAATAATACAGTTCAATATGAAAGTGAAAGTAGGCACACTAAAAAGTGGGTCAAACTTCGGTAAGTGGTGGGGGATGGTTTAAATCTGTGATGTGCTGGCTGAATGTAGATGGTCAAGCAAACATTAGCAAAACACAAGACACACTAAAGACTTCAGTTTCGTTTTTATCTCATTAAATTCCTGGATTGAAACTGGGTGACAACCATGGACTCAGACTAAAACAAATTAATAAAAATGGTTGAATGCCTAACAATACAGATCCCAAAGAATAATGGCACGATACGTGGAAAGTGAATATTAAACTTACTCTTATTTCATAATTACGTATACATTCTGGAGAAGGACGATAATTTGAGGAGGTCAATTTGTTAAAGAACGTTTCCAAAGTTTTCACGTAGGACTTGTAAGTGGTTCCAAACTTTTTTTGTACTGCAAGACATTCGGTGCAGTATAAAAGACGCATGAAATTCATTTCTAACGCGGAACGACTCATATTTGGTAAGGAAAAATTAGTTATCTAAAATAATTAAAAAGTAAAATGTATTCACTCACTGAGATTATTGATTTAATACAACAAGAGTATCAAGAAATGCACTCGACAAAACAACGAGTTTATGACAGGGAAGAGAAAACGCAAGATAGCTCACAAATAACACAACGAAATGCATTCTCACACGGCGTATTCATGGAAAAATACTTCTAGGTTGTATTGATTTTCAGTTGTAAGATAAAAGAAAGTCTCTATATCGTCATCACTGCTCTGCATTTTGAGCCACTAAATTGCATGACCTCTCAGGCCTCACTTAGTGTATCGTGGTCCACTAACAAACGCTTACTCAGCACAACTACTCTTTATCCTAAAGAGCGATAATATGAACTAACCAATTCGGTGTTTCAACTACGTATGTCTTACACACGGAACTTCATTTACAGCACGTGTAGAAGATGTAATACTTCATAAAATGGGACAAAATGACAACCTCAATTTTTTCATTCCAAATCCATATTTAGAGCTCAGGATTACAGTTATAGACAAACAACGATTGTTTGGTTCAAGCAACGAAATCAAATACATACATATATTGGTTTTGTTCCAAAAAATATAATCAAAACGAGGCCTAACGGAAAAAGGACTAATTACTGGCCACTGCACTGTCTCGGAGATATAAAAATCAATCTGTAGTAATAATACCTAACATAAGCTTTTGAGAACCGCTATTAATTTTCACTTGTTTGTGATTATTTGACTCATTTTAAAGTAGATTTCTATGAGTTTTATTTTAGAATAATGCTCTACTACACTGCTTTTTTTTGGCTTCCATCGTTATCAGTGCACACAGAGTGAAGAGGAAGTGAAGAGCCATCAAGTAGAGGAGTTGCATTAGTAGAAGGAAGGCAAGATAATAGAGATGAAGATGAAGACAAAGATGAGTGAGGATTAGAGAGGTTTCGTGTGCACTTCGGATTGTGAGGGCGATTGTTACTTCCCGGCTGCCCACACCGTGGAAGTTGGTTGCGTGACCGCAGAGCCCAGGGGACAACTGCTTGAGGCCGGTCACACGCAGCCTGTTTTTGTTTGTTGTTTTTCATTTGGTGTGTCTCAGTAGCGTATTTATCACTTCTGCCCTGTGACACGGCAGCAGAAAGCGCGGTCGTTGTTAATCCGGGCCCCGATCGATCCGGCATGATATTTTGTGTTTTATTTGAAGTCATACGATTGGATTGGGTAACTGCTTTTAGTCTAACCGCTATCCAGACAACCTTTCTGGCATGGTAGGACCTGCAGGAACATAAGTTCCAGCCAGTATAGCTTGTTGGGTCATTGCGGTGTTCAAGCCCGACCACCACGTCAAGGTAGCAGCTTTCGGTCGGGTAGACTTCCGGGTTGGGGCCCTCGGGACTCTAAGAATCAATGGCTGGAGACAATAGGTGACATGGCTCAAAATCGTTGTCAATGGCGCAGATGTATTCAGTCTCTTTAACCTTCATATTCCTTTCTACCATTACTCATTCTGTTTCACTCTTATACTTATCTAAATTCTATTGATTCTCTTCTCTCATTTTCCTGTCTACCTTTGTGTGCTATTTGGAACGTGGCAACTCGAACTGCTGCACTTCGGTGCCAAGTTCTATGTTGAATCCAGCAGCAGCAGCAGCAGCTACCACACTGCCCTAATCGCAGTCTTATACACTGATATAAGCCTTTACAATTATCACAATTATATTCAAAAAATCGTCACTGAAACCCTTCATATCAAGTTGTCATGAATATTTCAGTCGTTTGCTAGATTTATATTCATTTCTTTGCATTCCAAGTAAAACATGGATTCAAGCCTGAAGTTCTAGTAGTAGTGCTGCTCTTACTTGGTGGGCTTGCTAGCCTTTTCCAACCCTCCCTCTTTTGGATAGCTTACTTTCAGCCAGCAAAGTAAGCGAGATTTAGTAATGCATCGACCAAGAATCAGACCCGAACCTTCTCCCTGGCTAACAAGCACTCTATCATTAGGCCAATGACGTTTTTATTTAGTTCAATTAAATTTTTTTAACAGTTGAATGGTCGTACTAAATAATAAGGAAAAGATTTAACTTATACATTAAGTATGAACAGTTAGTACTACAATTAATTGGCCCAAATCACTTCCAAATTACTCCTTCATGGTTATAATTCGGTTATATATAACATTATATATAAATAACTACACTAGCATTTGATTCAAGTCGATAAACTTTGATCTAACATCGAATTCCCTTAAGTTCAGATGTTCGGTTTTATCTCTGAATCCATAAAAATCTTGCTTTCCAGGTCAAACATTAGCTTATTGAACCCACTAGAGTGCTAAATATAGCACTGTAGGGCGAAGCGACAGGTTCAGTGTTTGAAACTGTATGAAAAGGTTGTACAACAATGGTTTACTATTCCAAGCATTCTAGTGTATTCGGCTTCCTTGCT